AATTGAACATCTAAATAATTTAATTGTTAGTGTCGATTTTAATGCCTTCATTAATGTGGATTTTTTTTTTTACAGAGAAATATTTCCTAAAGATTATCACATTAATGACTCAGAAAATTAAGGAAGATATGAATTTATGATTCTCGAAATCGTATTGGTAATATCTTTAAGTAATATTTTTGAAATTTAAATAATTAATGCTAATGGCATTCATCCGTAAATAAGGTCCAACTCCAGGATTTATTTGCTAAAAGTCATTCAAAAATGTATATATAGATCATTGTTTGACAACATGCACATGAGCACATGAGCTTGTTTCTCATTGAACATTGCTGTTAGGCTTTTGTTGCTTTGATTTCAATCTCAGAGTTACACAGTTAAATTATATTTTTCGTCTTTTTTTTTTTATAATTAATATTTTAGTTTAGATATTTTATTTAATTTGTGGGATTTGGTCTCTGTGTTTCGCATCTTTCTTGTCGGAATAGAAGTCGAGGTTCAATCGATTTGAGAGGTACCTTGGCTACGCAATAGGAGGTATCGTTAACTGCAAGATGTACGTGTGTTGTCCTTTGTGGCTGGCTTTGTTCACATTGGTGTGGGAGTAAGATTGGCAAGTTCGTTTTTTTTCGGGCTTTTGTTCAAGTTTTTGACTTTTGTTTCGTTTTTGTGGATTGTATTCTCCACGTGTTCAATTGGTTCCCTCTTTTTAGCTTTCGCTTCCCTTTTTTGGGTTTTAAGTTTTCAGGGATTTCTAATGTTTCCGCCGGCTTATGTATTTTAACAATGTATCCTTCTTTGTGATATTAATAAAAACAGACGACAAAAAAAAAAAATGTTATTAACTAAAAAATGTGCACAAGCCGGACATTTTATTTTTATCAGAAACTAAAAAATGTTTTTCTTATTTACAGAAATTTCAGTCTCAGTTTGGTTTTAATAATTTGTATTCAGTCGACCCTAGTGGTGCTAGTGGAGGCTTAGCTTTATTTTACAATAATGAAATAAAGTTAGAGATTCTTTATGAAAGCAATCGGATTATTGATGTTAAAGCATTTTTCGGGAAACAAATAGTATTTATGTCGTTTGTTTATGGTGACCCTGTTGCCTCAAAACGTGATATTGTTTGGGAAAAAATATCCCGGTTGGGTCTTAATCGGAAAAAACCATGGCTAATGATTGGTGATTTTAATGAGTTGACGGGAAACCATGAAAAGACAGGTGGTAACTTAAGATCCGCTGCTTCTTTTGTTTCTTTTAACCTAATGATTCAACATAACGGTATGTTAGTGTTCCCATGCTATGGTGAACAACTATCATGGAGAGGTAATAGAAACCAACAAATTGTGAGATGTAGACTTGATCGGGCTTTGGGAAATGAGGATTGGCATAACTTTTTCCCATATTCAAAAGTGGATTATCTGGACATGATTGGTTCTGATCATAGACCAATTCTATTGAGTTGTGAAAAATCTTTGGCAAGAAAAAAAAGACAATTTAGATTTGATAAGAGATGGGTTGGGAAGGATGGCCTTTCAGAGGCCATAGATTCAGGTTTGAATCGAACAAGAAATTTTAGAATTCCTGTTTTTGTGGATAAAATTAAAAATTGTCGAAACTCCATTTCATGGTGGAGGAAAAATAATTTCCCGACAGGCCAGGCAAATATTTCTTCCCTTAAGTTGGCTTTGGAAGAAGCGAAGAATGACGATTCTATTCCGCAAGAGGAGATAAAAAGAATCGAAAATAAATTAAAAGAAGCCTACCATGAGGAGGAATTTATTGGAAACAAAAAGTAGGAATTTTTGGTTAAAAGTAGGAGATAAAAATACCAAATTCTTTCATGCCTCCACAAAAAAAAGAAGGGCAAGGAATAAGATATCAGGTTTATATGGTCCTAATGATGTTTGGGAGGAATCAGAATCAGGAATGGTGGAGATAGCAACTACTTATTTTAAAGATCTCTTTACGGTTTCCAATATAGATGGAATCGCTGAGATGGTACAAGAAGTGTCTCCGATTATTACGGAAAATATGAATAGGGAGCTAACCAAAGAGGTTACAGAAGCTGAAGTTAGGAAAGCTTTATTTTCTATGCACCCAGAAAAAACACTAGGCCCAGATGGTATGACGGCTTTGTTTTATCAAAGGTATTGGCAATCCTTAAAGGCAGATTTGGTTGGTTTGGTTAGAGATTTTCTCAGAACAGGTAGTTTTGATAAGAGAATTAATGAAACAAATATTTGTTTGATTCCAAAAACCGAAATGCCTCAAAGGATGGCAGAGTTTAGGCCAATAAGTCTTTGCAATGTGAGTTATAAGATAATTTCGAAAATTCTGTGTTTGCGGCTTAAAAAGATTTTACCACGGCTAGTTTCTGAAACACAATCGGCTTTCGTTTCAGGTAGACTTATTACAGATAATATTTTGCTTGCTCAGGAAATGTTTCATGGATTACGGACAAGTAGAATGTGTAAAACGGATTTCTTGGCAATTAAAACAGATATGAGCAAAGCGTATGACAGGATCGAATGGGAGTTTCTAGAAGCGGTTATGTATCGTTTAGGATTCAATTCAAATTGGATCTCTTGGATTATGTGGAGTTTTAGTTCAGTTTCGTATCAGGTTTTATTAAATGGGGAACCTAGAGGACATATAATCCCCAACAGAGGTTTACGATAAGGCGATCCCCTATCCCCTTATTTGTTTATTTTATGTACAGAGGTCCTGATTGCTAATATTAAAAAAGCGGAACGAGAGAAGAGGCTGACCGGAATTAAAATAGTAAAAAGGAGTCCTCCTATTTCACATTTGCTTTTTGCGGATGATAGTCTATTTTTCTGTAAAGCAGATATGGAGCAATGTAAAACAGTGATGGATATTATTGGAAATTATGGTAAAGCTTCGGAGCAAGAGATAAATTTTAATAAATCTTCGATCGTGTTTGGTCATCGTGTACCAAACCAAAAAAAAGAGGAATTGAAAAATTTCCTTGGAATTACAAAGGAAGGTGGAATGGGTACCTATTTGGGTATACCTGAGAGCCTTGGCAGCTCAAAAAGTAAAATTTTCAACTACGTCCGGGAAAGACTTAATGAACGGATTAATGGCTGGTCAGCTAAATATCTGTCAAAAGGTGGGAAAGAGACGATGATTAAGTCAGTTGCGTTGGCTCTGCCAACCTATGTGATGTCTTGTTTTAAACTTCCTCAAGAGTTAATATCTAAGTTAACAAGTGCAATCTCAAATTATTGGTGGAGTTCCAATGGGAGAGACCGTGGGATCCATTGGATTGCTTGGGAAAAATTGTGTATGGATAAAGATAAAGGTGGTTTGAGCTTTCACTCTCTAGACACGTTTAATGATGCCATGTTGGTAAAACAGTACTGGCGATTAATACAATTTCCAAACTCCTTAGTAGCTCGAGTACGAAAAGGTAGATATTTCAGGAATATTCATCTTTTACAAGCAAAAATACCAAACTCTCCATCGTTTGGATGGAAGAGTATATTTTCGACCAAAAGCTTGGTTGAAGTGGGAGCAAGATGGTCCCTAGGTTCAGGTTACAACTTATCGGTCTGGAGAGATCCTTGGCTTCCGGATGTTATTCCACGTCCCGCAAATGGAAGAGGAAAATTGTTACATCCAAATCTAATGGTAAACCATTTAATTAATCCGGTTACTAAAGAATGGCACCTTCCTATTTTACATGAATTTATGGATCCGGTGGATATTCAATTAATTCGAGGACTTACTATTAGTCAAGTTCAGAAGCCAGATAGGCTTATTTGGCATCATACAAACTCAGGGAGATATACAGTAAAGTCAGGCTATCGGCTTGCCCGAGGGATGACTGAATCGATTGAATGGGGTCCAAATTGTAAAATTTTACAAGCACAAGCTTGGAAAGCCAAAGCCCCTCCAAAAATAAAACACTTTTTATGGCAAATCGCTTCGGGATCCTTAGCAGTAACTTCAAAATTAGCTCATCGAGGGATTCGGTGTGATATTACCTGTAAAAGATGTGAGATGGCAGAGGAAACAATTAATCATGCTTTATTTGAGTGCCCACATTCTCAAAAAATCTGGGAATTATCCGAAATACCTATGGTATTAGGTAGTTTTCCTCTAAGGTCGGAATTCTCTAATCTAGACTATCTTTATTGGAGGATACCACATCCTGTAGATGGGGCGGAGAAATCTTACTGTTATGCTTGGATTTTGTGGTTTATATGGAAAGATATAAATAAGAAGGTTTTCAAAGGAATACAATCTGAACCCACATATATTTTAAATCACGCTTTGAGTGAAAAATTAGTGTGGGAAGAAGCTCAATTGGATCCAATGGAAGATAACACTATGACGGAAATTATGGAAAGCCCAATCCAATCTATAAAATGTCGGATTGATGGCTCTTGGAAATCTTCGGACCCAACTATGGGTATAGGATGGTGGTGTTTTCAAGGAACTGATCAAACTTTGCTGTTTGGTGCAAAATGCCTTCGGAGATGTCCCTCCCCCCTTCACTCGGAGTTGGACGCTTTAATTTGGGCTATGAAGAATATCCTTTCAAGAAAAATTGATTGTCAGGCTTTTGAAACAGATTGTTCTGAGTTAGTCTCGATGGTTCAGTCTCCTGAAGAATGGCCCGCATTCTCCAATCTGCTAGACGAGTTGGAGTTGCTCCGTGTCTCTTTTCCCTTTTTCTCGCTTTCTCTTATTTCTCGTTTATGTAATATTAAGGCGGACTGTTTAGCCCGTTCTTCTAGACTTCTGTTTTCTGATGTTACTTTTGTAAACTCTTCTCCTCCTAGTTGGGCAACCAATCATGGAGTTACTTTTTAATGAATGTGTGGTTGATAAAAAAAAAAATAATAAATAAATAAATAAATAAATTATTTAATAACTAAAAAAAATTCCAAATTCTAATTGGGTTTGGATTCATAATTTATTTGCTATATAAACAAACTGTTCGTTCCGTGACTTAAAAACCCTAGAATTTGGAGAAATCTGAGCAAGCCAACGCCATCGATTAGATCAAGACCTTTTGATATTGTAGTTTTGGAAGCTTTTAGGGTTACGTCTCATGATGAGAAACGATATAATCAGCGAACTTCCGGAATCTTTGATAACTCAGATACTTTTATGGCTTCCGACCAAAGATTCTATTAAAACAAGTGTTTTATCGACCAGATGGAGAAATCTTTGGCTTAATGTTCCAGGACTAGATTTAAACTCCGATGACTTCCGTTTCCCTTACAGAGATATCATCAAGAACTTCACTGAAAGATTTCTAGAGTTTAACAGTATGTCAGGCCTTCAAAAGTTCAAGATGAAGAATGATTACGGCAAATACAATGTGTGTAGCGAAAGATTAAAGGAGTGGATCGCTACAGCGGTTGATAGCGGGATTCAACATCTAGATTTCGAGACCAAAAATCCTCTGCTTCTCAAAGATTTAATGCCTATGAATATTTATAAGAGCAAGACATTGGTGTCTTTAAAGCTTGTATGCGTAGAGCTTGAGAACCCAAAGTTTGTTGTTTCTCTACCTTGTCTCAAGATCTTGCATCTTGAAAAAATTTGGTATTGTTATGATGGTCCTTTAGTTGTGGAGAAACTCATCTCAGGGTGTCCTGTTCTTGAAGATCTTACCATGGTAAGGATTCATGATGCGGATATACAAGCTCTGCCTCTTTTACATGTGAGGTCTCTGACTCTGAAGATCTTCCGTTTAATGTTTAATTTGGAGATGACTACTAGACCTATTTTGGTGGAGATTGATGCTCCAAAACTCAAGTATCTAAGTTTTAAAGCTAGGCAATCTGATAAAATCATGGTAAAGAATCTGAGTTCATTGTTCAAGATAGACCTTGATACTGATTTTGGCGGCAGTTCCTTGGAACCCCATGATTTAAGGAAGAGAAGAGATATTATTCGCGACGTTCTCACTGGTATTTCGAGTGTAAGACATATGATCATCTCTCAACGTACTCTAGAGGTAAATAATGTTCTTTGTGATGCATCATATCTAACAAGTTAGTTTTTCTATGGGAAGATTCTCATTTGTATCATTCTATTTCTTCTTGCAGGTCATACATGGTTATTCAAAACTCGGACCGATTCCCAAATTCCATCACCTAACGCATTTGAAGGCCGCATTCTCCAGCACATCGTTACAACTATTGCTCGCCTTTCTTGAGAGCTGCCCAAATCTTAAAAACCTCATATTGGTAAGAATCTGTCTGATCTTTGATTTGGTCAAATAAGATCATTGTTGACATATTAATTAACCGCAGGTTTTTTTATTCGCAGGACTTATCTGTTTCAACGGAGCCAGAGCGAATCGATATTACCAATGTGCCTCGGTGTATAACAACGACTCTGGAGTGTATTGAGATTAACAAACTGATAAGGAAGGGAGAAACTGGGATTAAACTAGTTCAGTATTTTCTTGAAAATTCACCAATCCTTAAGAAAGCCAAGCTGAGTTTTACAGATTCTCCTATGAGTATGACCAATCTACCGTTAGATCGGGTCTTCAAGATGTATCTTACATCCAGAAAGCGTTCTCGCAGATGTCAAGTTATCATTTCTTATCATGCATCTGATGTCAGCGAAGGCATGAACATTGTCATTGAACAAAGATGTAGAAGACTATTCTTATGAAAGTTGCAGTTAGGCTTAGCATTTTGTAGATACGGTTTATTAGGTTTAAAATGGGACACCTAGACTATTGAATGAATGTCTTCTTCAGGTTTGGTCATCTCAGTTACATTCTTAAAGGTCAGATTACGAAACTTTTCTAGTCAGGATTGATGGAAATGGTTTTGTTGTTTCTTAGACATCTAATAACTAAGGTGCATTGACGGTTGTTTATATATGAATTAAGAAATTTTTACATAATTTAGTTTGGGCAGTTTGGCACATTTTGGCCTGGTTTGCGGCAAATACACTTTCCATTTACGCAACACGCCCGACGATAATCAGAACATAGCATCTTTCCACACTCAAGGTATGTATCACATATCCCTCCATGATTCACATCGATTGTTTTTGTATTTCCTTCTTCTAAATCTATCATTGAAGGGGACGGATTAGTAGGACTTCCGTTGTCTTCCTTTGCATCGATTATTTTACTTTGATCTGCATTTCATTTCAAGAAAAACAGTGATGTCAAATTAGTATACTCTATGTTTTCAAAAATTGGTTTAATTAGAAGGATTATTTACATATACGAATATAAAGGAAACATAGATTAAGCAAAATAAAAAAAGCTTCAATTTAACTCCAACTGGCAAAAAAAATTCACGAAAATACTAACAATTACACACAAATTTGGGTAATTGGTTAAATTATGCAAAATCTTGGAACCACTTCACCATTTTGTGAAATCCCAAATCAAAAAAATCTTATTTACTTACAAGAGAAGGACAACAAGAGGGAGAGAAGAAAAGCCGTCTTAAAATAAAGGTTGGTCATAGCTAACAATTGTGTGTATTTGAATGTTGGATACGATGAGTGGGGTTTAAAGAGAATTTTATAGCCTTGCGTTCATTTATATATGGGATTGAAAATCAGTTTTTATTTTTTTCCTTTCTATAAAAATGTTACTTTAAATTTTAGATTTTTTCTATAATTATTATTTTTTCTTCAGTTATGAACCTAATTCAATGACCCAAGATATGAAAATGTATTTCCCCAAAAACAATTATGGTAATAAATCAATAATTTTATTTGGGATTTGTCTTTTCTACTACTTTTGAAAATATCATTTCCAAATCTACACCATTCCACATATCCTTGCGTTTATATATGGGATGGAAAAACAGTTTTTATTTTTTACTTTCTATAAAATGTAACTTTACATTTTGGATTTTATCTATGATTCTACATAGATTGGATAGGAACATATCTTTTTTTTTCAGTTATGAACCTCATTCAATGACCCAAGATATGAAAGTCTATTTTCCCCAAAAACAATTTGATTTGGGATTTTGTCCTTTCTACTACTTTTGAAAAGATCATTTCCAAATCGTACGACATTCCATAATCCATTTCTATTTCTATGAAATTGTTGTATCACAAGAAAAAAATTTGGATGAAACTATTGAGTTATATTCTTGAGAATTATGTAGTGCCCAAGAAACTCACTTTGTGTTTCTATTCAATACTAAAACAAGCCTTAGATATCTCCAAGGATATTTTTACATTCCTTTTAAACATTTCACTAGATAACAACCCGCACTATGTGCGGGACAAAACGATTATTAACCAATTTTAATGTATTGATGATATTGATGGTCTTCGATTTTTATATTATTAGATAGATAAACGGTGGTATATTAATGATTATCAAGATTAGTGAAATTTCATTTATGTATTAATGTTTATGTTTATCATAATTAATGATATATTTCTTTGTATATTAATCAATATACAAAATATTAGGTACTCTATTTTGTATAGATTTGTATATCTTAATTGCATATTTTAAATATATTTTTGTTTTAATTAATTATATTTTCGTTTTAATTAATTAAATAAAATAAAAAACATAAATTAAGTGGAAAAATAAATATAAATAAAACTAATGACAAAATCTGTAAATAACTTAATAAATGTTGGGTTTTTAATTAAATAAATTGAGAAGCTCTGAGAGAACGACACGTCAGCATGGCGTTTTTGTTAATCACACATGAAGATAAGGTTATTTTTAAAAAATGCTTCTCAATTAATATATAAGGGATAAGGGATTAGGGAATAGGTAGTACAGATTTATCTGTCGAGATAGATGCTCCGACTTAAGTACATAAGTTTAAGAGATAGTCAATCTGATAGGGTCGTTGTAAAGAATGTGAGTTCATTGGTCAAGATAGACTTTTGGAATCTGACGACTTGACCAAGATAAATATTATCCGAGATTTTTTTTTTTTTTTTGACGGCAAAAGACTCCATATATTATTAAGCTGGTTCGAAAAGGTTGGCATCGATAGCTAACCACTCCGGAACCTGGGAACTTACATGGGAAAAGATAGCATCACGAGATCGAGCACCTTTCGCAAGGGCATCAGCTCGGATATTGAAGTTTCTAGAAATATGAGAAATCGAAAAACATCTAAAGCGATTACGCATGAGATTAAAGGACTCAATTTCTGTTTCCAAGACTAATATATCCGAGATTTTTTCACTGGTATTTCAAGTATAATATATTTGAAATACCCTGGAGGTATCTATATATTTGAAGTCGCTTATGCATTAGATATGACATGAATAGAAAAAAATTATTCAACTATTGACATGAAGTTTTCTAATTAATAAGCATATGGTTTGATTGTCATTCTCTTTCCAGTAGTTTAATTATCTTTTCTCTAGATGGAAATATTATTTTGAGCAAATTCAGAAGGGGCAAAAACCAGTTGGTTGCTTATAGTTTACTTATCTTTTCTCTAAGATGGATATATTATTTGCATAAGCTTTACCGTAAACTTGAAGTAACTTTTTGGTCCTCCTAATTTTTTATGGCCCTTTTGGCCCAAACCTAAAAGTAAAAAACAAAAACAAAAAAAAAAACTAATAAGATTTCCCGAACTCGATCGATTAAACGATCAACAACTATCACTTGACGATAATCTGTCGGCAAATCAAAACCTACGGAGACGGTTAGTTCTTCATTCCTCCTTGGATTACGTAAGAAATTTTGATCGACTTTGAACCCTAGAATTTGAGATAACATTAACCCTAGGAAGCGATTTTGATGTTGATGATGTTGTTGTTGTTGTTCATGCTCTAGGGATGGAGTGCGATTATATCAGTGAACTGCCGGATTCTTTGCTAACTCAGATTCTCTTAAACCTTCGGACCAAAGATTCTGTGAAGACAAGCGTGTTATCCAAGAGATGGAAAAATCTTTGGTTAAACGTTCCTGGACTTAAATTAGGCACCTTTGATTTCCCCTATCCTTACCTAGAAGGCTTCGCAAGGTTTATGGAAAGATTTATGGAGTTTAACCACGGGTCAAACCTGCAAAAGTTCGACATAACGAATTTTGAATGCAATGGCTATCATCATCGATTAATGGAGTTGATCAGTACAGTGGTTGATCGTGGAATTCAACATTTGTATGTTTATATGCATACTTGTAAAAAAGATGATTTCATACGTCAGAACATTTACAAGAGCAAGACATTGGTCTCTTTGAAGCTTTTCAATGTAGAGTTAAAGAATCCAGAGTTTGTTGTTTCTCTACCTTGTCTCAAGATCATGCTTCTATGCAACGTTTGTTACAGTGAGGATGGTCCTTTGGTTGTTGAGAAGCTCATCTCAGGATGTCCTGTTCTTGAAGATCTTCAACTGAGTAGGCCTTTTGATATTTCGAGTCAAAAAGTTGTGATGTTTCTACGTGTGAGCTCTCAGACTCTGAAAAGCCTTCGTTTATATTTTAGGCGTGATAGTGGTACAGATTTTTCAGTTGAGATTGATGCTCCACGACTCAACTATATGAGTGTTAGAGAGAGTCAATATGAGAGCATTTTGGTAAAGAACCTGAGTTCCTTGTTCAGGATCGACATTCATACCAAATTTAATCGTTTTCGACTAGAGGATTTACAGATGAATGATATTTTCTATGGTTTTTTAACCGGGATATCGAGAGTGAGACGTATGATTATCTGCTTGCGGACTCTAGAGGTATATATTTATGCAACAATTTAGTGTATTAATTCTCCATGAAAAAAAATCTGACATATCGTATCCTTTTAATTCTTCTTGCAGAGGCTTTACCCTTATTCCAAATTCGGACCGATTCCCGAATTCCTTAACTTGTATCATTTAAAGGCACAGGTCCGCAGCTCATCGCTACAACTATTGCAAGCCTTTCTTGAGAGCTGCCCAAATCTGAATAACCTCATCTTGGTAAGAATCTGTGATTTGGCTAAAGAATGTTGTTGAAACATATGGTAAACTCAGCTTGTTGATTTCGCAGGAATATTCTGTTACAGTGGATCTAGAGCAAACCGATTTTACCAACGTGCCTCGTTGTTTAATATCGACGCTGGAGTATGTTGAGATTACGAAACCGAGGACAAGAGATGAAACTGGAGTTAAACTAGTGAATTACTTTCTTGAGAATTCAACAGTCCTCAAGAAACTGACTATAAGTTTCACAGGTTCTTCTTTTAGAGAGCTAGAGCTAGAGAGCTACAAGATGCTTCTTACATCAACAAAGCTTTCTCCCACATGTCAAGTAATCATTGTTTGACATTCAGATGATAATGCTTGTGAGCACATGAGTTGTTTCATTGGACATTAGTATAGGAACTATCTACTCTCATAAAAATTGCAGTTAGGCTTTTACCATTTCCTTAGGTTTGCTCATCTTATACAACTTTTGTTGCTTTGATTCAATCTCAGGAAAGAGTTACACAGTTCAATTCTATTTTTGTCTTTTCAAAAAAAAATTGAAGTTTTAATTTTAACATAACTGTTGAAGTATCCTCGGTCCATTAGTTAACGGTTTAAAGGCAGATAACGCAATTTTTTTGCTGATTATCGGTATAAAGCTTAGCGGAGGTTCCAGAGGACTGTTGGTAGAACCGTTTGTTGTTGTCTCATGTGTTGCGGGGAGAGCCTATCCATCGGATGTCGTACTTAGAATGACTCTGGAGTGTATTAAGATTAACAAACTGATTAGGAAGGAAGCAACTGTGATCAAAATAGTTCAATATTTTCTTGAGAATACACCAATCCTTAAGAAACTCAAGCTGAGTTTCACAGATTCTCCTATGAGTATGAGTATGACCAATCAACCCATAGATCGTATCTTCATGATGCTTACATCCAGAATGCTTTCTCGCAGATGTCAAGTTATCATTTCTTAACATGAATCTGAAACCAGTGAGAGCATGAGCATTTTCATTGTGGTTTATGATGTTAAAACTTTTATAGTGTTAATTAATGTCTTGCACAGATTTGAATTGCCTTATATGCTAAGTCATATTAATCTATGTTTCTTGAGGACTTTAATCACCTTCAAATTTTCAGTGTTTCCGAAAAGTTCCAGGCATCTTACGATATCGTAACTTGTCCTTGGTCAATTATTTTATATGTTGGTATGGTTGACTTCAAGGTTCTCTGTTCGGAAAATATCTTAGAAACAACAACATTTGTCAAAAGACTTCAAACACAAAGACTTTTCTTTGTTTATTTCTCTAATCCAAGAAGCTTCTTCTGCTCACCAATTTTGACTCAACTTTTTACCTTTATTAGTTACGTACCAACGAAGAAAACAGTTGAAGACTCGCTACATGATCCTGGTCAATTTCTGATAGAATCGTAGCTTACATTTATAATTTGCATTAGGTACTTATTACTTTTATTCATTCTTGATCAAGTTCTTACTTTTGTTGTCATAAAAGTAATCTTAGATGTAAGATTACTTAAGTTTTTGTGTGTTTCTTGTTAGGTTGTTGCAGCTTTCATAATGATATTTTAATATTCTAAACTTTGTGTTTTTCTTTTACTCTGTAGTGTACATCAATGGCAAACGAGAAGTCGGATTTCACTAGAACCGCAACATCATTCCGCAACTTTGTTTCACAAAAATCTGATTCTCAGTTTCCAGCAGAATCAGGAAGATATCATCTTTATATCTCTTACGCTTGTCCATGGGCTTCTAGATGTCTTGCAATCTTGAAATTCAAAGGACTTGAAAAAGCAATAAGCTTTTCGGTTAGTAAAGAATCTGTTTTCGATATATTTCGTTTCGATGTTCACGGAACATAATCTGACCAGTTTGTTCATTAGTCTGTTCAACCACTTTTTAAAAAAACCAAAGAAAGCGACGAGCATATGGGATGGGTTTTTCCAGATTCAGATACAGAGGTTCTTGGAGCTGAACGTGATCATCTTAATGGTGCGAAATCCGTAAGAGAACTATATGATATCGCTAGCTCCAACTACACGGGAAAATACACTGTTCCTGTAAGTTCTTTTAATCCATGGTGTGGCCTAATCTTAAGTCTTATTCAGATTCAGTTACTTCATCTAACATTTTCGGATATATTTTTTGTTTCTTTGTTTGTGGTAGGTTCTTTGGGATAAGAAGCTTAAGACTATCGTTAACAATGAGAGTTCTGAGATACTCCGAATGTTCAATACCGAGTTCAATCATGTTGCAGAAAACCCTTCTCTCGATCTTTACCCTCCCAATCTCCGAGCCATAATCGATGAGACCAACGAATGGATCCACGATGAGATAAATAACGGTGTTTATAAATGTGGGTTTGCTAAAAATCAAGAAACCTATGATGTGGTAAAGTAACTTTGCTATTTACTTATCAATATGGTAGTTAAAATTTGATTCCATCATGTTAATTTGTCTCTCTTTGCAGGCAGTGAAACAATTGTATGATGCATTGGACCGATGCGAAGAAATACTCAGAAACCAACGGTTTCTTTGTGGAAACACTTTGACTGAACCAGATATCCGATTATTCGTCACTCTCATAAGATTTGACGAGGTACTTTAGCTCAAATTGTTATGTTTTCGGATTTTCATATCTACATATTTTTCAATTTACCATATGTTTTGAGAATTTTGTTTTGCAGGCTTACGCGGTGATCTTCAAATGCGATAAAAGACTCGTAAGAGAGTATTATAATCTCTTTAACTACACGAAAGATATCTTCCAAATCGCGGGAATGAGCAGTACAGTAAAGATGGATCATATAAAGCAAAATTACTATGGAAGCTTTCCTTCTTTAAACCCTCTTGAGATCATCGCTCGTGGACCAAACATCGATTACTCTTTGCCTCATGATCGACACAGATTCATGGATAAAACTAGATCAGTATTTTCTTGAGAATTCACGAGTCATTAAGAAACTCAAGCTGAGTTTCACACAGATTGAGTATGAATCTTACATCCAGAAAGCGTTCTCGCAGATGTCAAGTTATCATTTCTTAACATGAATCTGATGTTAATGAAGACATGAGCATTGTCATCTTGATTTCTGATGTTAAATCTCTTATGGTGTTAATTATAATGTCTTGTACTGAGTTGGATTGTCTCATATGCTTGAAAAAGGTATATTAATGTAAAGTTTGTTACTTTGATCTTAATCTCAGTTTATTGGATGACATTAATCATCTTTGAATTCAAAGGTTCTCTGTTCGGAAAATATCTTAGAAACAGCAACATTTGTCAAAAGACTTAATAACAAAGACTTTTATTTTTTTTTCATTCTAATCCAAGAAGCTTCTTCTGATCGCCAATGTTGACTCAAATTTTCAAAGTTATTTACGTACCAACGAAGACAACAGTTGAAGACTCGCTACATCATCCTGGTCAATTTCTGATCGAAATTGTATCTTACATTTATTTTGTGTAAGGTCCTTATTCATTCTTGATCAAGTTCTTAGATGTAAGATTACTTAAGTTTTTGTGTGTTTCTGGTTAGGTTGTTGCATCTTTATTTGAGTAATAAATAGTTTCATAATAATGTTTTAATGTTCTACACTTTGTGTTTTTCTTTTAATCTGTAGTGTACATCAATGGCTAACGAGAAGTCGGATTATGCGAGAACCTTAACATCATTCCGCAACTTTGTTTTACAAAAACCTGATTCTCAGTTTCCAGCAGAATAAGGAAGATATCATCTTTATATCTCTTACGCTAGTCCATGGGCTTCTAGATGTCTTGCAATCTTGAAACTCAAAGGACTTGAAAAAGCAATAAGTTTTTCGGTTAGTAAAGAATCTGTTTTCGACATATTTCATTTTGATTTTTAAGCAACATAATCTGATCAGTTTGTTCATTAGTCTGTTCAACCACTTCGGAGAAAAACCAAAGAAAGCGAGGAGCATATAGGATGGGTTTTTCCAGATTCCGATACAGAGGTTCTTGGAGCTGAACGTGATCATCTTAATGGTTCAAAAAGCATAAGAGCACTTTATGATATCGCTAACTCGAACTACAAGGGCAAATACACTGTTCCTGTAAGTTCTTTTAATCCATGGTGTGGCCTAATCATAAGTCTTATTCTGTTACTTTGTGAACCATTTCGAGTTTTTTTAGGATTTCTGGTTTCTTTGTTTGTGGTAGGTTCTTTGGGATAAGAAGTTTAAGACTATAGTTAACAATGAGAGTTGTCAGATACTCCGAATGTTCAATACCGAAAACCCTTCTCTTGATCTTTACCCTCCCAACCTCCGAGCCATAATCGATGAGACTAACGAATGGATTCACGATGGGATAAATAACGGTGTTTATAAATGTGGGTTTGCTAAAAATCAAGAAACCTATGATGTGGTAAAGTAACTTTGAGATTTACTTATCAATATGGTAGTTAAAATTTGATTCCAATTTCCAACATGTAAATTTGTCTCTCTTTGTAGGAAGTGAAACAAGGAAGTGAAACAATTGTATGATGCGAAGAAATACTCGGAAAACAACGGTTTCTTTGTGGAAACATTTTGACTGAACCAGATATCCGATTATTCGTCACTCTCATAAGATTTGACGAGGTGATTCTAGCTCAAATTGTTATGTTTTCGGATTTTCATATCTATGTTTTGTTCAATTTACCACATCTTTTGAGATTTTTTCTTTGCAGGCTTACGCGGTGATCTTCAAATGCGATAAAAGACTCGTAAGAGAGTATTATAATCTCTTTAACTACACGAAAGATATCTACCAAATCGCGGGAATGAGCAGTACAGTAAAGATGGATCATATAAAGCAAAATTACTATGGAAGCTTTCCTTCTTTAAACCCTCTTGAGATCATCGCTCCTGGACCAAACATTGATTACTCTTTGCCTCATGATCGACACAGATTCTCTTCAGAAAGTGACTATGCAAGACTTGAGTTACTTGAGAGTGCAAGTTTTGTTTGTGAAATGTCCGCACTATTAATTGAAGGTTCTTTGTAGTTTTTTTAAGTGATCATATAAAGCAAAATTACTATGGAAGCTATCAAAGATGGATCATATAAAGAAAAAAAAAAAAAAAAAACTATTGACAAAATCAAGTTATAGGAAGCACAGAAGTTTCATTGGAGCTCCGCTTCCCGCTTCGGAATCGGAGTTAAGCACATAAGCTTCATTGAAGCTTCGCTTCAACCGTAACAGAACCAAAATCCACCGAGTAAAATTTTAAAACTAATAAACCAAAACTTTCTACCCGAGAAAGAGGGTTTTAAACCTTCTATTTGTAGTCGTGAGGCTGTCGAATAATAAAGTTGACTTTATCTAAATTTGAACTAATGACTTTGGGAGCGAAGACTTTTACAAAAAAATGTCATACAAAACAGAAAAGAGAGAGAGCGATTAAAATCTTAAGATCGACGACAATTCCACTTCCCATGGCGGTTTCCTCCTTCTCCGACGAAGAAATCCCGCCGCAGCACCAAGTGTTCATCAACTACAGAGGAGACGAGCTACGAAAAAGCTTCCTCGGGTTTCTCGTGAAGGCCATGAGAGACGCGAACATCAACGTCTTCACAGATGAGATCGAAGTCAAAGGTAAAGATTTACAGAATCTTTTCAGTAGGATCGAGGAATCAAGAGTCGCGGTTGCGATCTTATCCAAGAGATACACTGAATCGAGTTGGTGTTTGGATGAATTAGTGAAGATGAAGGAACGGAATGATCAAGACAAGCTCGTTGTCATTCCCATCTTCTATCGATTGGATGCTAATAACTGTAAAAGACTGGAGGGACCTTTCGGCGATAATTTTCGGAAATTGGAGAGAGAGTATCGGAGTGAGCCTGAGAGGATCAAGAAATGGAAAGAAGCTTTGATATATATTCCCCAAAAGATTGGCTTGACTTCGGCAGGACATAGGTATTACAATTCATTTCGGCTTTTGCATTTAGGGTTCCGAGTTATTG